CAGATCAGCTCTTCCTGTCATTCATTTTATGCTCTGCTTTGCACTTTCGGCTAGATTTGCAGGGACACAGTTGCACTAACCGTTAGAGGTATCAACTAGAATTCGTTCAGAAATTCTGGCAGCTATATTAGCGCCTTTGGGATTAAAGATGAAATCACAAACTGTGTAGCAATGACTCGAGGCACGTTTGTCCGTCTCCTCTACCTGCGGCACCGGTGTGGCATTACTAAACCGATGTAATGACGGAACTACACTAACCCAATGTGCATTCATAATGCTACTTTGAGTTACATACCTAGGCTATGTACACGGTCTGGGCAGCAAACTGTTGGGACTTTGGCATTCGTATTACAATCCTGTAACCGTATAAGACGATCCGCAAACATACAGCGTCTTGTGTTTGTTTTGCCACATGATTCGTTGTTCATACTGGCTAGTCTGCAGTGTTTTGAACTCTTTCTCAAAGCGTTTGTCTTGTAATTTTTCGTGCTCAACCTCGGGTTTTAGTTTTTCGGCTTCCCTCTCCAGTATAGTGAGTATATCGTCCTTTTGAGCAGCACCCCTTTCATGCTTCTTGCGCTGCTCTCCTCCTACTACACAACGCTTGAGATATTTCTTTTTCACGTAAGTAATCTGCTCTCTACTTTTATTCGGAACACGTCATGTTTTTATCAGATTCTCTAGTTTGCTGAGCTGACTATCGTACAGAGTTCTCATGGTCGCTTATCCATTAGAGGAATTTGGCGTTATTAACGCGTCCATGTACAGAACATGATAGAGGTTTCCAGAACCGCATGAGCGCAGCCCTCAGGCTCATTAAGGTCGTGATCTTTAATGAAGCTGGAGCGACTAGGTTTGAGGGCTTCGATGACAGTTTCACGGATTTTAATTTTACATTGGGTACATGTAGGCAGGAAGAGCATGTCCTCGTTGCTTTGTCTAATGAATTCGCAAAACCCACACATTGGTTCACATCCGCGAAAAGTCGCTACCACCCGCGTATACTGTGGTGTGCGATGGCTCGAATGAGACTTGATGCAATTACAGTGGCTTTCGTGCTTCTCCTCAACCTTTAGTAGAGACGTTGCTTCCTCCTTCAAACGATAGAGTAAATTTTCTTGAGGTTTGAATCCCAGTACTTCACAAGCAACATAGCACAGTCTAGTCCGGAAAAGCACCGGACGTGTTTCGCCCTATTGAGACACGTCAGTGGTGCGCATTCCCTCTCTCCTCTAAGGAAGATCGAAACCATAACAGCTAGAAGCAGATGCCAGCTAGCTAGCAATTTAAGCCAGTGAACCATGTGGGACGTTGATTGGGCTACGTAATTTGCAAACTATCAGGGATAAAGCCCCACCTATCTTCCACTGTCACTGACAGTGGTTAGCCAGCGAGATGCTGATGTCCTCTCACTAGACGCTATATCCATAGCATTTTGTAACTAGGAAGGGCTATTTGTTTTGTAGTACTCGTAAGTAGCAGGATTTTAGTTGTAATTTTGTTGCGTAGTATGAAGTAAATAGCCTCTCCTAGTTTGAAAATGCTATGGATATAGCGTCTAGTGAGAGGACGTCATCTCGCAGGCTAACCACTGTCAGTGACAGTGGAAGATAGGTGGGGCTATATCCCAGATAGTTTGCAAATTATGTGTCCCAGCCAACGTCCCCCATGGTTCACTGGCTTGTTGGCATCTGCCTCTAGCGGTCATGGTTTCGATCTTCCTTAGAGGACCGAGGGAATGCGCACCACTGAGGTGCCGCAGTTGGGCGAAACACGTCTGGTGCTTTTCCGGACTAGACTGTGCTATGTAGCTTATGAACCACTGGGATGAAAGCCGCAACAAAATTACAACTAAAATCATGCAACTACGAGTGATAAAGTAAATGTTTGTATCTGCACGATTCATTAATGCCCTTACAATCGACAACGACTGTTTTCTCCTGGACAACGCTGTTCCTGGAACGGGGAGTTGAAGTTGATGTTCCAACAAGTGATAGTGCAGGTATTCTGTGACCCAAACCTCAGCCACCGCATTGAAGCTGCTTTTCTGACTCATTACTGTGTTCCTGCGCAGCTGTAGGTCCAGCACTTCTTTATGGTGTCCAGACCTTACCCATCAAATCCACAGAGCTAGCGAGACTGGTTATGTTTGGCGGTGTGAACACCGTGTCGGCAATGAGGGTGCTCAGCCTCTAGGTTATTGGACGGGAAGAGCACCGTTTTAACACGCGCCAGCCTCCGATGGGCTGGGGCACTTGTTGCACATGCCAGCACACCGACTCCTGCGTCATGCGTTGTTTGCCCGTGACTGCCGAATGGTTACCTCGGTGTGTATTGTTGACCATCCATTCACGTAATTGTATTCAACCACGAAGTTCTCATTCAGTAATAAAAAACACAAGGAAACTCATCGGAGCACTCGTATGTGCTTTCTGTCCCTGGGCCACATTTTGTTTGTGCACTCTGTCCGATCGAGAGCTTTCTTGTCCGGGGCGTACGTGGGTCGTAAAAGCCCGGGGCAGATGAAAAGCAAGACAAATATTTCATGTGTGATTGGACAGTTTCATCACAACCACCTACTAAGAGTCGGAGCTGGATGCGGGGGCGGGGGTACACTTGACTTACACCTCATGGTGAGCCGGACGGCACTGTCACAGTTGCCGATGGCGACTGAGGCTGAGGTGTGTGTGGACGGAAGGTGAAAACACCCGCGACAGATAGTTACTCTAACGATTGGGAAAGGTAGGGAATAGAAAAAATGACTGCTACTTTAGGCTAAGCTCGACGACCTTATCTGTTGGGTTGCAACAAAGACACTGACGCGCTACTACTCTATCGAGTGTGTTACATGTACGAACGTAGTGACGCTTTGGCATCATTTTTCCCTGATCAATTCTTATGACGTTTTTGTCCATTTGTCCTTTTTAATTTGTTTATGTTATTGGTATTGTGTTATCAGTATGGCGATGTGAACCATATTAATTGTATCCACCGCACCTTTGACTGCTTATCGTTAAAGTGAGTTGAGCATTGCTACACCCTATCCTCGTCACGCAGGGTCTTTTCTGAACTGCCTATTCTGTTTTTTCAATAGTCGCCGATTGGTTGTCTGGTATACCAACTCATGTGTTCTGATTGATTGGTGGCCTGTCTTCAGGTTCCAGTTTTCCTTTTAAAAAAGCAAATTGACTCACTGACTGGGCCGTCGTATGAGCCGATGGGCAGCGAGAGTAAGTGGTATTAAACACTTAAATGACAGTTCCAACAAAGACAATGTTCGATGTCACTCCCATCGCCCTCGTTGCCTCTCTACCTTTACTACGGATGACAGCCGCCCGTGGGACTGCTCATGAACTAAGACGTAAATGTGAGATCTCTACAACGTGTGTTAGCGCTTTTTGATGGAAAAAGAACATTCAACTTCTCTTGGTACAGTTGAGATCGACGGAACACCTTTGTTGGTTCCATTTCTTCCGACTCCATTTCCTTATGTCTCATACTTTGTTAATAACCCGCCTGCAAGCGAGCAGATTTACCACTTTCTGTCGTGCACATATCCCCCTGTACGGATATGCTTGCCGTGTAATATATACCGTCAATTGTCGAAACGTAGACGTCCGATCTTTTATTGGTGATGAGTTACACATTCTCCCGCATCGGACACCGATGGAACGCGATCATGACCGAGGGATCCACAGTCGCGCACCGTGCGTTGCACCTGTTCGACTGATCCGTGTGTGTATGCCCGAGTCTGTAGTTGCAAGCATTTGGGATTGTTCTCTGAGCTGAGCAGTCTTTTCGCATCTGCTCCGTTACCGATCCGGACAACATCATCAGTTCAGCTTCGAGAGTATTGCCTTTGCATTGTGTTTAGGTGAGGGGATGCCGTTTGACCGAGTGTTTACTTTCATCGTCTCGCCAACCCAATCTAAGTTGTTCATGTGGGTTGTTTCGCTTTGTGAACAATTCCTATGCCTGATTCACTCTTGAATGACTTTTCTTCGCGAGAGGACCGCACTGTAGCATGGTGCGACGATTTGGGTATTTCCTTAATCCGCTAAGATACCCCGGGTGGCACTTCCCGAGTGTCTTCAGAGCCATTCATGCTAGACTGGTCGACCGCTAGTGTTCAGACTAAATCAGTCTCGCAATCTAATCTTTTTCAGAGGTTAGAGAGAGGTTAATGACCCACTTTTTTGTAACCTCAGCCATGGGATGCTACAGGTAGCGGGTTGTGTGCCTAGCTTCATTGGTCTAGAGTGCGAGCACCACGATGGTATAGCATTACTCTGGTTCCCTGCTTTGCTGTCCCATGCCTCAAGCTAGGTAGCGCTTTAAACATTAGGTGCCAGTCCTCCAGTTCCCACCAGTATTTTTCTGTGGTCGCTGGTGTATAACCTATTATGACTGAAAATTATGGGGATTGTTTTAAATCCTCAGGATGTGCCACTTCTGGAATTCCTCAACTCGGCATCTGCATCCACAATTCGAGCTGAGGTTATCCCGCATAGATGCCTTCTGTGGATGCATTCAACGCGTTCAATGTGCACTAACTCAGCCTTTCTTGCCGAGCACCTATGTTTACCATCGAACGATACTTTTGCTTTGACTATTACGCAACGGCATCAGACAAGCTAATGGTACCTCCGGTTTGCGAAAGCACTTATGTGTTCAGGTTGCTTTCAATTATAACTGAGCCGGCTGACGTTAGAAAAAAGTATCCGTCTTATTTGTATACTACAGCTCAGGTGGATATGGTTCAAGCACTGGTCCTTCGGGCTCCTCCTGGTTAATTGTTGCAACAAGTGCTTACTTGACTGTCAGTCCGTTATCAATATAGGTCTCGGCGGGGCGTATGCGGACGTGTCTAGAGGTGATCGCACGCAGATGCTCTAACACTGCTCTGGCGACACATTGTCTTTGACATTGCTCATATTCTAGCCACTGTCATCGATCATGATTGCTATTTCTTCACATTCTATCCACTCCTTTAATTTCAGGGTTACCTTATACTGGAACTCTTTTTCATCATGTGTCTCGGCTTCTGTCTGGCTATGGTCTTTGTGATGTACGCTTGGGACGAGAAGCATGGCCATTTGTTGAATGAAACTGGCAGAAGTCGACGCGCACATCAGAAGACGGAATCTGAACAGACCCAACTGGAGACTAATGCGAACGAGACTGATTCGCTGCGATCTCAATGATGAACACAGAAATCCTCTTCTCGCTCGACAGCTGTCTTAGGTTCTAGTTCCACCCGGTTTCATGTGCTACAGCTATGGGTATCTGCGGACTAGAACAGGCTCCCATGTCCTTTTTGTACTGTCTTTCATAGTTTTTCCAATGCATTGTCATCTGCATTCGATATAAACATTTATTACCTTCCTCCGTGTGTGTTTCCTGCATTTCTTTTACATGGCCTATATCAAGTCAAGTCAAAGTAGGTTTTATGCACCCGGGTAGGTGCTTTTTCAGCATGTTACACTATCACTGCGGATGCTGAACTATATGAAATCACTGTCAGGTGTTGTACCATTTACATCTTTATCATCATCAATAGCAGTACATCAGCCAAGTGGACTGACGTTTCGCGGCTTTAGAGAACCACGGTGACCTACGAAACGAAGAATAACTCATCAGTGCACTGAAAGTTTGCGGATGATGTCTATTCCTACAGCTGCCGCGCCTTCTGTCTTCAGGTTTCGTCATCAGAAATAGCTTCTTTATCGAGTCACGTTTTCGAAACAACTATGTGTCGCAGCTACTCACTTGATCGCAGTGGCTTCTGTCGTCCTCCTTGGCTCACCGATGTTAATCACCACAATGAAATGGAATCGCTCACTGCTGCCGCATTACCAACGGATGAAACGGTTGTCCGGTGCTTTTATTCGGAGGACTACTAATTGTCCCTTGAGTGTTATCGAGATGTTGGAGTGGTGTGTCAACTACACGCCAACCTCGACGGCACTCAACATGCCAAGCATAAAGACCTTTACCCACCCTATCAGCCATCATCTCACTTGCCGCGATCGATCTGTTCAACAGATAGCTGTTCGAAGATTTATTACCGAGTGACTTGAAATGTGTAGTACTAAAGCCGGCTCTGAGTGGTGGTGACCGCAGCAAACTGGACCACTGCAGACCAGTTGGTTTAGCCAAGGTTGCCGAAAAGATCGCAAAGCAGAGTCTACTACACCTGTTCCAATCCAGAGATCCATTGACTCCTGCACAGCACGGTTTCATGCTAGGCCACTTATGCTTTACCAAACTGCTAGTGACGAGGCATTAATGCTTGCAGGAGCTGAACCATAGGAAGTCTGTCGACGTAATCTACATCGATAGTAGCGAATCGTTCGACAAAATCAACCATGAGATCCTGCTCCACAATTTGGTGGAGGCGGTTTTGGTGGATCGTTGCGCCAATGCATTCGGGAGTTTATCGTTTAACAAAGTGGAGGTTACAAGTGTGCACTCATCTGAGCGACTGGTATCCCTTTCCAAATGACATATCTCAAAGTACGGTGCTAAGGTCTTTGTTCCTGATCTATATCACCGATCTGTCTTGGCTTCTCCGGTCACCGTGTGTTCTGTTTGCAGACGACCTGAAAATGTGGCCTCAACCGCCTTTCCATGGGGTCTGTAGAACTCCGACTTCCGGTCAATCCACTCAAGTAGGTATTCGTGCGCCTGATGAAATGTTAGTGGCCAACCACTACATCTTACAAATTACTTAAAGGACCTACGTGTACTCTCGCGCTTACATTTGATTTCCGTGGACACCACGAACAATCTACATGGAAACCGGCTGTGCATGCTTTTTGCGCTCAAACGCAGTTTTTGTACTTAATCTAGTGATGCGGTCACTTACCATTTCTCCTCCATCCTAAAGTCCATGCTACGGTAAGGCTCGCTTGTATACTGACCGATCACCTGAGTTGAGGCACACTTCGCTACCACTCACTGAGAGTTTACGAAGGTTTCCGTACGAAGATCGCTGCGAGATTCCAGGACTCGACACCTTGCCCTTCGTTGGTTGCGAGTCTATCTTTTTGTGACTTGCCGCATATCACATCTCGATGACTACTCCATGATGACGCCGCTACGTCGCTTGCGAACGCCATACAACACACGCGGGCGCCGGTACTTGCTTGTAGTACCGATTATCCAACCCCCTGTGCTTCCAACGGAGAGTGGTAAATATTTTCTATAGTCTGCTAGCTCATGTCGTGGGGGCCGAATCTATGCAGCAGTTCAAAACGTTGATGGATTTACATTTAACCACCATTCGATTCTGAGAACGATTACATACTAACAATGACATCCGTCACTTCGGAGCCCCCTGTACTGTGTGATACATTTTCAAATCGATAGGAGTATTAACAGGTGACAGATATTTTTTATACCTTTTTGATCACATTCCGATGGAGTTGTACATATTTAAATGCTTACTTGCGCCCACAATGCAGTATCCAATTTGGCCGAATCTTCCGCTACTACCATTTTTCCTGTACCGAGTAGCTTCAAACAGCGAACGCACGATACGCACAATGCAGCATTAATTCGTGCCATTCTAAACGTGTTTCTTACCTTACTTCACTCAGTCTACAGCGTTTGCCTAATGGTCTCAACTTGCGGATTAGCACGCAATAATATCTGCTCTGCGGATTACAATGTTGCTCGTTTTTTCCCGCACGCAGCTTAGAAATATGGTGCTCACCTGTACCAGCTTTTCACATCTAGAGAATTAAGCCTTGAAGTCATATGGGAATACAGCTTTAATTTGACCTATACTGTCAGCCCTCTCTGTATAGAACGGATTCAGTAGGAATACTCCTTCCGCGCAAATTATGATCTACCACTCGTTCGAGAATAGCTGGTTCCCTCCTTTCAGTTTGTTTAAGCAATGCATTTGACTTGAGACGGGAAGCAATTAAAACAATACTTTCCTCTTACACTCCTGTTGATGGCCTCGTTTGTTAACTGGTGGTTTCACGTCTGCGCAGTCCACGACCAAGATTCAACGACATCTGTTTCGTGACAGTTTTTATCCTCCTATCCCTGAATTGGACCCTTCGTCTGGTATTCTCCTTGAGAAGAGTCATGCGACCAAGATACACGTGATCTTAATATTCACGATCTGGCATTTTTAGCCTTCTTTAGTGAGCAGTTCAAGGCTGACCAGCTGCACCCGTTCACTGCAAGTACTTATGTCTGCAGTCATGTCAGTTCGCCCACATGATTTAGAGCGGAAAACAGACCATCCACGTTTGATTTAGTGCATACAAATGATCGTTGAGCTGATGATAGATAGCCCGGTAGAGCTGGGTGATCTCGGCACTGTATGACTATGCGCTATGCGGAGCACGCGCAGGAACATATAGACTTATTCCGTGCAATCACATCGCGTCATACCAACAGAAGTCGTTGAAGAAGGCACTTGGAACTTTTCGGACGACGATTCCATTGCTGATATCTGGATGTAGTTCATGGGCAAATTCTATGGTCCGATCACATTCGTGCCGGAAATCGATCCTATTCACTCTGCGTGAATATCATCGTTCATTCGACAGCGGACCTCAAAACGCATAGTGGTCAGAGACGCAGCGTGTTGTCTGCGTATAAAGCTAACCCTTGTCCTGATAACGCACAATTATTTAATGCAGCGTACTCAACGTACCACGCTTATCCGTGGAGATATATTACTACGCCAGCATTGCCTAGTGGCAAGCTTTTGTTTCAGTAACAGGCTGCTGTACAAATATGTAAATAGTCCCCGAAGACTGAAGCTTGGTATTCTCCCACACATCTCGGTAGACGGACATACTTAAAGCACCGAGGATGGAGCCAACATGCTACACCTACAATACGCTTCAATATTTCGACGTACCGCCAGCTCGTGTCATGTGCTTCTCTGAGTCCCACAGGCGCAACAATTTGCTTACGTCATCTTTACTTCATCGACTGCGTTTAGGAAGCAGCTTTCGTTACGCAGCCACAGTTTCTAAGAACTTGACAGCAATCACCAGAAAGCGCAGCAAGTAACCGCTATGAGACTAGTCGCCCACGATTCTTTCAAAGATTCTTGGATAAACAGCAACCACCCTGTGAAAACAAGGTATCATTACCCCGACTGTTAAGGGTGGTGGTCGTTTGGAACCAAACTATAGCCCATTGCTCCTCATCGCTGTGTTGTAACGTCCTCTTGATTGGATGCAGCGCCTTTAGTCGGAACAACGATTTGCTCTTCTAGGCTGTCTCGCGCGGAAAAGTGGTTGATCGAATTCGGATTGCCGTTTTTTGAGTTACTTAGTCAGCCAACGGTTCTCCTTCACTGTACCGAGACTAACCCGGCTCTTTGCGATCCCGAGAGAAAGGTTGAACTTGACGTACCATCCGAGCGTTGCGTAGTTATCGCACTCCATTTGCTACGGTTTTTCTCCACTTTACCTTCCCTCAGCACACCGTACGGCGACTCGAATAGGATTAACTAGCGTTGTTCACTGAGCGATCATACTTAGAATTGTATTCCTCTGCTCACGACTCCAGCAACACCTGCGGTCTTAAATGGTCCTCGTACTTAAAGTCCACTCACGCAAGTTTGTCGCTTTGAACCCAAACCTTGGTTGTGTAACATTGTTCGACGCAGAGATCCTGAGCTTCTCTAAAGAACCTAAGATTATTCCAGCACCGTATTGCTCAAGAAGACTGGAAGTATTTGTGCACTCCTATTCTGTTTGTGCATTTCGTTTGCATTAAAGTTCAGAAACAACCAGCTCAGGCAGCACCGATGACCCGCCAACCAACAGCGCACTTGTTTTCCTTAACAACGAGTATAACTGAACGACACTGCACACACGGCGCGTGATTCATTCCACCATCGTCTTGATCTGTAGAAAATTTGGCAGTTGCTTGGCATTACGACCCGCGCGAGACCACAAAACATCACGTCATCAATGAACATGGCCCACACGAAAGGTGCATGTGATTTAAGTGTTAATTGTCAAGATGACATCAACGTGTTTTGAATGCTCTAACTCATCCCACTTTCGCTAACGGCAGTGGTATACGACCGGAGTGCATTTTGTCTCCATTTTTCTTCAACCTTGCATTTGGGGACTTCCTGCTGGGATCTGTTGTGTGCCGCCTGGGATACTAGTCGGTAACAATTATAGGTAAACGTGGTGTCAAATACGGGAAAGTAAAGAAGTTGGAGGCAGCCGGAACCAACGTATATTGTACGGGTTACGAGAGTATGAAGCGAATTAACAAGGGTAAGGAACGGTATAGCACGGGACTCACCAAAACAATTTGTGAAACTGGAAGTGCTATCACTAAAACAACAATGTTTTGAAGGTTTAAACAACAGTAAACTCCAATATTTTAAATTAC